CATAGGTGCCCTTGCTAATTGGGACCTGGAAGGGCATACAGATTTTCAAACAGCTCGCTCCTCAGCCCCTCCTCCTGGCAGACATGGCCTCGACCCTTGGGGCGGGTGTGCCACAAACGATAGAAGGAGTGTGTTAAGAGTGCTTCCCTTCTATGTTTGCCCTGGCTGTCACCATGACCGATCTTTGAATTCACAGTATGGAGGTAAAAATGAATTTTTCTGCAAAAATTGGGGGTGTAAAACAACAGGCAACACCTACTGGCACCCCTCCTCCTCCTGAAACCTTATCACGGTCGCTGCTAATTGTACACATCATAAAACAGTCACAGAAACCCAGGTTGGACTAACATTCCAGACTGTTCAAACTGGTGTCACCTGCTTCATATCCAGTTTACAGACCAAGGAAAAAAGAATAGTAGACGGTCCACTCTTGGGTTGAGGCTTTACACAGTGCATTTCAACAATGACCTACTATTTACTATAAAGTTGTTGATAGAACTGCCTGGGGTTGGTGGGCTGACAGTGTCTTAAATCCCTTGCCCCCACAAAACGGCTCTCTACTCTTGTTCCTACCCTTTACCCCACTACTCCCCCCCCACTTCTGATGACGCCTTTAAACCTGATGCTCCACATTGTATTCTTGAGGTTGTTAATAGGACCTTTTCAGCGCTAAATCATTCCCGCCCTGAACTCACCAAATCCTGTTGGCTATGTTATCATTCTAGTCCACCCTTTTATGAAGGAATTGTTGTGAGTTCTGAAGGCACTGAGACCCAAGAGTCCTCCTTATGCAGGTGGAATCAACAGCAGGATGCAAAGCTAACACTGAGTGCAGTCTTGGGCCAGGGACTGTTTATTGCCTCCTCTTCCTCTGCCTACCTTCTTCCCACAGACGATACTTGGTGGGCTTGCAGCGATGGTCTTACACCTTGCATTTATATTTCAAATTTAGTGAATAACAAGACAGCATTTTGTGTACATGTACAGTTGATTCCTAGCTTAACCTATTATACTGAAGAAGGTTTTGCTCAGGCATGGAACCCTGTTGCTGATCATGCCCTGCTTAGGACAAAGCGTGAGGTCATAACAGCCATTATCTTGTCTGTCCTCCTTGGCCTCAGTGCTGCTGGGGCTGGGACGGGCATAACTTCTCTAGTTATTTCAAATAGGCACTACTCAGACCTTCGACGGGCCATTGACAAGGACATCGAACAGCTAGAGATTGGCATCACTAATCTGGAAAAATCCCTCATTTCTCTGTCTGAAGTGGTCCTCCAAAATCGCAGAGGGCTCGATTTGCTTTTCCTTAAGCAAGGCGGGCTCTGTGCCACCCTCAAGGAGGAATGCTGTTTTTATACTAACCACACAGGGGTAGTATAGCCAAGATCAGAGAGAGATTAGAATGGTGAAAGAAATGAGAACAAGAGGGGTGGTTTAAAGACTGGTTCTCTGCCTGTCCTTGGCTTACCACCCTTCTCCCTTCCATCCTGGGCCCTGTGGCTTTCGGCCTTTGGGCCTCTAATAGACTTATGTGCTTTATAAAGCAACAAATTGACTCCATGGCATCTAAACCTCTACAAGTACATTACCATAGACTTGATCTGGCTGATTGAGACCTGGCTGAGCCTTGCAATGATATTTCTCCTTTAGGAGCTGCATAGAACTAAGATCTGTGCAGGTTGGTTTGGCATGGCGCAGACGCGTGGGTACCTGACAGGGGTGGGAGGCTAAGCACTGCAGCGGGAGGATCTTATAGTCTGCTTCTGAGTCTCCCGAGAAGCAAACCTGATTGCATGGAGGTTAGTATTGACTTCTCCTGTCTCAGAAAGTGGTCGACTGGGACCCCTGAAATCCTATGCAACCCATGAGACAAATAACCCTTTCCTCCCCCAAAAGACACCATTACAAATGATACTGGGAGGATCAGATCAATACTTCCCCTCTGGTTAATGCCCACTCATCTGTCGATGAGATCTCCTAATGTCTGCCTTCGCTTGCCAGCCTCATTAAATATTGTTAAAAGGGAGAAGATGAACTTCCGGTTTTGCAACCCCGGGAACCGGCATCGTCGATCGGCCCTTTAAGGCCTTACTCCGAAGCTCCGCCTTCGCTTGGGTCTTTCTGGAAAGACAGCTTTGCTCTGTACGGAGCTGGACAGCATCCCGGGCTCCTGTGTGTCTCCCATGGCAGATACGACCCCGAACGGCCCCCAAGGGGCGGGCGTGGTGCAATTCATGATGACCAATAAGCTGGACACAGCAATGTGGCTCTCTCGCCTGTTCACAGTTTATTGCTCCGCTTTGTTCGTCCTGCCTCTTCTTGGGTTGCATGAAGCAGCAAGCTTTTACCAGCGTGCTTTGCTGGCCAATGCTCTGACCAGCGCTCTGAGGCTGCATCAGAGATTACCACACTTCCAGTTGAGCAGAGCGTTCCTGGCTCAGGCCTTGTTAGAGGACAGCTGCCACTACCTGCTGTATTCACTCATCTTCGTCAACTCCTACCCCGTTACAATGAGTATTTTTCCAGTCTTGTTATTTTCTTTGCTTCATACTGCCACATACACCAAGAAGGTCCTGGATGCAAAGGGTTCAAATAGTTTACCCCTGTTGAGATCTGTCTTGGATAAATTAAGTACTAACCAACAAAATATTCTGAAATTCATCGCTTGTAATGAAATATTCTTGATGCCTGCTACAGTTTTTATGCTCTTTAGTGGCCAAGGAGGTTTGCTCCAGCCTTTTATATATTATAGATTTCTTACTCTTCGATATTCCTCTAGAAGAAATCCATATTGTCGGAACTTGTTTAATGAACTGAGGATTGTTGTTGAACACGTTATTATGAAACCCTCCTGCCCACTGTTTGTGAGAAGACTGTGTCTCCAGAGCATTGCCTTCATTAGCAGACTGGCACCAACAGTTGCGTAGTTTAACGTCTAGTTAAGCTGTGTTTAGAAGATTAGCATTATTAGCTGGTAATTCTGATAGGGGTCCCAGATTACAGGTCTAACATTGACCTCAGTTCAATTTACATGATTTACATAAATGCATCTCAGTGCAAAAATAATAATAATAATAAAAAAAAAAAGGGGAGAAGATGCCAGGAGTCAAACCCAGGAAAATATCTGCTGTTCTGGAAAAACCTAGTCAGTTAAATGGTCTGAGGCCCCAGGAACTTAAAGAATGTCTGGTATTTCCCGGAAGCCGGTTATGATAATGGCCTAAACTTCCCGTTTTGCTATGCCTTTATAACCTGCCGTCTGAAATTAAAATTTGAGAGCCTGCTCTCCTTTTTTGTGTCTCTTGTCCTTTCATTCATCTGCTCCCTCCTGGGTCCTCGGGTCCTCGTTGAATTTCCTGTGGGTCAGGGCCCGAATCCTCAGAAACCAGGAGCTGAAAGAAATCCTTCTTCCTTTTTGTTGTTTGTGTCAGTTTTTTGGCCATAGTGATGGAAATCTATTTAATACACCATGTGGTTTTCTCCCCAACACACTCGTGCCGTGATGCATCACCCAGTGAGGGGCTGGGGCCGAGCTCTGCCTAGAATCCTCCACTGGGGAGAAAGTGTTGGGGACTGAAGAGGTGGCTCAGAAGTTAAGAGTGCCTATTGAACTTGAGGACCCAAGTTTGGTTCCTAGCAACCACACTGGGCTCCTCACAACCACCTGGAATGCCAGCTCCAGGGGATCTGACCTCTACTCTGCTGGTACCCAGACTCAAATGGATATATGGCTTATGGAAGGATGGATAAAAGAAGTACTAGGTGTTTGATTTTGGACCTGGGACAAGAGTCTTAGGTGCATATCTTACATACTAAGGCAGACCTGGCCTCCAGGTTCTCCCAGCATCCCTCAGTCCCTACCTGGCATACCATGACCCCAACCCTGAACTTTCTAGCCCAGGGACTGAGCTGCCTTTCCCCCAGAGGCTTCTCCCTATATAATCCAGACATTCTGGTCTCTCCCTCTCTTTTCCTCTTCTTCCTGTGCTTATTCTTTCCTTTCTCCCTCTCCTACCACCGACCCCCTTCCTCATGGTGACTTACCTGGTCTTGGTCCTTGGGGGTCCAGTAAGCTCACCTACCCAAGAACAGCTTCCCAATAAAGCTACCTTTAATCTAATCTGGTTTAAATTGGCTCATTTCACTGGCGGCAGAGATATAGCCTATCACTAGGCAGATAAGGGATGGATGGATGGAAGCATGGATGGATAGATGGATGGATGGAAGCATGGATGGATGGAAGCATGGATGGATGGATGGATGGATGGATGGATGGATGGATGGATGGATGGATGGAAGCATGGATGGGTGGATGGATGGATGGAAGCATGGATGGATGGATGGAAGCATGGATGGATAGATGGATGGATGGAAGCATGGATGGATAGATGGATGGATGGAAGCATGGATGGATAGATGGATGGATGGAAGCATGGATGGATGGAAGCATGGATGGATGGATGGATGGATGGATGGATAGATAGATGGAAGCATGGATGGGTGGATGGATGGATGGAAGCATGGATGGATGGATGGAAGCATGGATGGATAGATGGATGGATGGATGGAAGGAAGCATGGATGGATGGATGGATGGATGGATGGATGGATGGATGGAAGCATGGATGGATGGATAGATGGAAGCATGGATGGATAGATGGATGGAAGCATGGATGGATGGATGGAAGCATGGATGGATGGATGTGTAGGTTGGAGGGTGTGACGGTGGCTAGATGGAGAAGTGTAATACTGGCTGCGTGGGTGGCTGACTTCAGGAAAGTAGGAATAGACAAGTTGGAAGCTTTTGAGTGACATTTTCTTGGTGTGCTAAGGCTGGAATCAGCCCCTTGGGCTGAGTGTTCCTCCTGCCTTGGCACCCCCAGCAGCACGGGCTGCATGTGTGCACTATCACTCTGACCAGCTGAAATTCTTAAGTAAAAGACCAAGATAAGCAGGAAGAAGATTTTTCCAGAACTTCTGTGAACACTGGACTCACCAGGCTTTGATTAAAAACAGTTTATTATGCCATCACAGGAATGCCCAAGGCAGGAAGGTCCTAGGGAGTGGTTGCTGCAGCTGCCAGCATCCACTTACTTCCATCCTCAACTGCAGAGGCTGAGGGAGCAGGAGGAGCTTCACATTACGGGACATGACTCAGGTTCCCCAACACAAGTGCTGATTTCTATTTCCTAAGGGAGCAGCGAGAATGCATTCAAGGGATTCTTTCAGGAGCTCTGAGTTCAAACAGGCCTCGAGTCACACTACTTCATGTTCTACTTCAAGCTGCAAGTCAGAAATTCTGTTAAACAATAAACATGGTTGTTAAGGGAGAGGCTCTCGGCCCCTCCCTCCTGCCACATTTCTGGGAGGTGTGGGGATATATCAACAACACAGGGGATAAGCAGCCTTGAGGCCTGAGACAGTGGCCACTCAGAAGCCAGTCATCCTGTTGATGGGAGGCAGGGCCGGGCAGGGAGCAGGTGACATGAGGTGAATGTGACTGGCATCAAGGAATGCCAGGATGGTGTGAGAGGCTCTGAACCCAGTACTCTGGAGCTAGAGGCAGGAGAATCAGAACCAAGGCCAGCCTCAGCTACAGAGTTTGAGCATTGCCTGAGTTTCGTGGGACCTGGTCTCAAACACACAAACAACAAAAGAGGGGCAGTGTCCCAGGTCTTGAGACTAACAGAAGCAAAGGTCTAAGGAGGCTATGGAAGAGAGATGTGGGCGGTGCCTGGTGGACTCTGGGAAGGGGAAGATGCTGCATAAGGAGAGAGCCTGCTACCAGGAAGTACCACTCATGACACACTCATGACACTAGTGGTATCTGGTAGATGACACTGCAGGGTAGAGGTGGGGCTGGCTGCACCCTGCAGTGATCAGTTAGCCTTCTCCTCTCTGTTGCTCCATGCATGGGACATTTCTGTGTCAGCCAAAATGTCTCCAAATGCATAGTTCCCCATTCCTACATGTTCTTGTGTGTGTGTGCGTGTGCGTGTGTGGGCATGAGTGTATATCTGTGTCTGTGTTTGCACATGCATGCTATACAAGCTTTTGGTTGCAGCCAACCACAATGAGACAAACAAATGCTCTGAGAGAGAGCATGGCCTTGGGGAATTTCCACTTGGGGACACAACTTTACTATGGGACATTCTACAGAACTCATGACAGATTGAGAGGGTGTCACGTAGCCTAGTCTGGCCTCGCTTCTGAGCTGTACCCCTACCTCCTGTGTGCTAGGATTGCATCTGTATGCCACCATGTCCAGTTTATGGGTTGCAAGGGATGAAGCCCAGGCCTCTAGCATGCCAGCCAGGCCAGCACTCTACCGACTGAACTCCAGCTCCAATTCCACCAATTTCTCTTGTTTGTTTGTTTCCTTGTTTGTTTTGTTTTGGCTTTAAAAAAACACTCTTATATAGCTAAGGTTAGCATTGAACTTCTGATCCTCCTGCCTCCACTTCACAACTGGGATAACAGGTATGCACCATCACACTTGGGTGACCTCAAAATTTTCTAGTTATCACAGATCACCCAGCTGAATTCCAGCTGTCTGGATTCCTCTGGAATTGACATCAGGAGCCCATGAAAAAACCAAGGGTATACCAAGGGCTGGGGTACCCAGTCCCTCACAGGCTTGGGTGGGGTAAGGGGCTAAGTCAACAACCTCCTCACCTGGATTCCACCTAAGGCACCATCTGGAGGTCCAGGGGGTCATAGGGTGACACCCGAATATCTTGCAGCAGAGCTTCTAGATTGTTCCTCAGCGTGGTGTAGGGCGGCCTCTCCTCGTAATCGAGGGCCATCACCACCTTCAGGTACTCCTGCAGGGTCTCTGTGGTCAAGACAACCAAAAGCACAGGTGAGGCCCGAGAGGTGCTGCTTGCAGTCCCCTGCTCAGCCACTGGGAGTCCTTCTATCTGCTGTCCATGTGGAAGCATCACGGGAGCACCAGAGTGCTCACCAGCCAGTCATCACCAGCCCTCACCCGCTTCTCACTGGTATACTTCCCAACACCTCTAACATGGGACCTGCAGGTTCCAGCTGAGGCAGGAATGGAGTGTGAGCATGGTACACAGGAGCCAGGGAGCAGAGGGGAGCCGTGGGCACCACGGTGACCAGCATCAGCGGCAGGCAAGCCCTATGTGAAATTATGTGTCCTTTAATCATTTTTTCTTTTAAATAATTTATCTTTATTTTACGAGCATTGGTGTTTTGCCTGCAAGTATGTCTGTATGACAGGATCTTGGATTTACAGACAGTTGTAAGATACCATATGGATGCTGGGAAATGAACCCAGGTCCTCATGAAGAGCAGCCAGTGTTCTTAACCACCAAGCCATCTCTTCAGCCCTTAAAAAAATTTTCGACCATTGGAAAACACAAAACAGTACTAAACAGCACAAAACAGGTGTGCTACACTGCAGGAAACCATGGAGTTGGCCTGGTCTTGCTGCCTCATGAGACATGTGACATGTTTTTCAGACTCCTATGTTTTTAAGAGTCCATGGCTCCTAGGGCAGAAGGTGCCTTACAGTTCCTGAGAGACCAATAAAGCACTCAGGCCACTTTGTGTTTCTCTGTACGTTCCCTCAGAAGTCAAGGAAGCGTAGAAGCCTGACAGAACAATTGGTCTTAGACATTAATCTTGTGTACCTTGTATAGCTTGCAATTGCACACATATAGATCCTGGCAAATGACACTATATTCGGTTTGTTTGTTTGTTTTTTTCTCCTTTCTTTCTTTCTTTCTTTCTTTCTTTCTTTCTTTCTTTCTTTCTTTCTTTCTTTCTTTCTTTCTTTCTTTCATTGTTTTTCTTTGGTTTTTTGAGACAGGGTTTCTCTGTATAGCCCGGGCTGTCCTGGAACTCACTCTGTAGACCAGGCTGGCCTCGAACTGGGAAATGCACCTGCCTCTGCCTCCCAAGTGCTGGGATTAAAGGTGTGCACCACCACTGCCTGGCTTTGGTTTCTTATAAGGGTATAAAAAGTGTGATTATTCTCAATAAAGTTGTCACAGCCTCAGTCTTGCTGTGACTCTTTCAATCTGAGCCTGGATTAAGTTCTTACAAGTTATATCAAGTAATTTTGGCCTTCTAAGTAAGTGTAGGTGCTTATACCAGACAGCTTAAAAGAAAAGGGCTTTTTCATAATTTAATTTGGGGGCTGGGAGTCTATAAAGAGTCTCACTCTGGCTAGGCATGGTGGCACATGTCTTTAATCCCAGTAGCTGGGAGGCAGAGGTAGGCGGATCTCTGAGTTCCAGGACAGCCAGGACTACACAGAGAAACCCCATCTCAAACCAAACCAACCCAAAAACAAACAAAGTTTCACCTCATAGCACAAGCTGCCCTTGAATTCCTAATAATTCTACTGCCTTGGCCTCTTGAATGCTGGGGAAACAGGCCAATACCATGATGGTACCATTTTGTTGTTTTGTTTTTCTGAGACAGTCTCCATATAGCCCTGGCTGACTTAGAATTCACTATGTAAACCAGGATGACTCAGAACTCACAGAGATCCCCCAGTCTCTGCCTTTCAAACACTGGGATGGAAGGTGTGCACCACCACACCTGCCATGATGGCACCTGTAAAAAATGTATCCATTTTTATGTGTGTGTGTCTGCATGAGTAAGTGTCGTGTGGAGAGTGCCCTCAGAGAGCAGGGTAGTGCACTGGAGTCACACAGTGTCGGTGTGGCACTGGACTCCGATCTCTGCAAGAGCAGCAAACACGCTGGCTGATGAGCTCTCTCCATCCCAATGGTATCCCCTAACATTTATCTATTGTGTCTGTGGAGGGCAGAGCTCAACTTGTACTAATTCCTTCCTCTCACCACGTGGCTCCTGGGGTTGAACCCCAGCCATCAAGCTTGGCAGCAAGGGCCTTTACCTTCTGAGCCACGTCAACAGCCCCACGGCGGTATTCTTAATTTTCAGGTGTATTTATGATACATGTGTGTACTGCTCTGAATGTGCAGGTCTGTGTGTGTTGAATGAGGTCAATAGCAGCTGTCTTCCCTCTCAAGCGTCACTCCCCACCTTCTTTTCTGAGACAGGGTCTCTCACTAACCTGGAGCTCACTGATCTAGCTAGAGTAGCAGGCCATTGAGGCCCAATGATTTGCCTGTCTCAGCTGCTGCCAGCTCTGGGATTTGAAGTGCACATGGCTGTGCAGGCTTTTCACATGAGTGCTGGGATTCAAATTCTTAATATGCTGGATAAGAACAGGAGTGGGCAGTAGACGAAGTGAGCAAGGCCAGCATGACAGTGCTCTTTCCCCACTGCCCTGAATTTGTCGTCCCAACCCCCACACTGAGTGTTACTTCCTACCTCCTGCACTGGCCTTAGACTGCTCTGGGCTGATGAGTCTACCCCATGGAAACCCCGCTCAGCAGAGATAAACCTATCTGGCTGAGGCCCTGGAACTCCCAGTGACTTGCAGAAGGGAAAATCTACACAAATCAGTAAGCCTGAGACCGCGCTGCACTGAAGTACCTGAAGTCCAGCAGAAGAGCCATATACCACCCAACCCAAGCCAGAGAAATGGATCAGAAGTTAACAGACAGGATGTGGGTTAAATTCCTAGCACCCACATTGACTCACAACCATCTATAACTCCTACTCCAGGGGATCTAACATCTCTTCTGGCCTGTACAGGTACTACACACTCATGGTGCACAGACACACATGCAGACAACAAAGTCATACACATGAAATAAAATAAAGCTTTATAAAAAAAATCTGGTTTTAGCTCTAACAAAGGCTACTGTGGGAAGCTGGGGGAGGGAGGTGTGTGTGTGTGTGTGTGTGTGTGTGTGTGTGTGTGTGTGTGGACTCTCACTGCTTATAATCCACAGTTCAGGTGGTAAGTTTTGGAGGAGGGTCACTGGGACCTCCCACTTGCTTTACAAGCGCCTTACTATACAGCACACCCACAGTTCTCATTGTACTTTTAAAAAATGTTAATGATTCATTTATGATGTATGTCTGTTCATGTACAATCTGTGTGTACACTGCCCACAGAGGACAGAAGAGGGCATTAGATCACTCTGGATCCTTCTGGAGTTACAAATGGCTATGAGCTGCTGTGTGAGTTCTGAGAATAGCACCTAGGTCCTCTGGAAAATCAGTACCCCCCCCCCCCCCCACCTCTCTCTCTTGGGTTTTTGAGACAAGTTTCTCTGTGTAGCCCTGGCTGTCCTAGAACTCACTGTGTAGACCAGGCTGGTCTCAAACTCACTGAGATCTGCCTGCCTCTGCCTCCTGAGTAGAAGGACTAAAGGCATGTGTCCCACTGCCCAGCTGCAGTAAGCATGTATTCTTAACCTCTGAGCCATCTCTCTAGCCTTCCTCCCACTAAAATTAATTCATGATTACAAAACCACCGCCCCAGTTTTTAAAATCGTTCTGTGTACATGTATGTAAACATGTTCATGCACACACAGGTGCATGTAGAGGTCAGATATCAGAGAGCCCTGGGTGTTGGTCCTCACCTCCCTGTCTGAAGCAGGGTCTCCTGGCTTGCTGCTGTGGACACAAGGCTAGCTGGCTGGTGAACTTCAGTAGTTCTCTTTCTGCCTCCCATCTTGCTGTGGGAGCACTGGGCTTATAGAAGTGCGTACTGCACCAGCTTCATGTAGACTCAGGGGATCTGAGCTCAGGCACTTACACTGAGTATACCTTCCCAACTGAGCCACCTTCCCAACCTATAATTCAGTGTTAAAGACAATGATGTACTTTCTAATTACAAAAACCCGACCAAAGCCTACAAATGGCCGGAGGTAGTGGCAGACACCTTTGTTCTCAGCATTTGAGGAAGGTGGATCTCTGTGAGTTCCAGGCCAGCCAGGGCTACAAAGCGAGACCCTGTCTCAAACAACAAAATCATACAAGTATTAACGTAAGAAACCTCCACAATCTAACTGTCTCAAACAAGGAAAAACAGGAACCTAAACTGGCTAATACTATTCTATTAAAAAATAACAGAGCCAACAATACGGCTCAGGGGGTAAAGGCACTTGCCATCAAGACTGACGCCCTGAGTTCGATTCCCAGAACACACAAGATCCCCAGTCAAGAGCACTGGAGTTGTCTTCTTACCTCCACACTCACACTGGGACACACAGACATATACATACAAAATACAAATAAATACAAGTAAAAATAAATAAAAGCTAAAAAAAAAAAAGGTATGTGTATGTAGGCATGGTGTTTGCCTGTGATCCCAGCACTCAAGGGGGGGATGACCTGGATTCCCAGGCCAGCCTGGGGAAGCACAGCAAGTGTGAGGCCAGACTAGGTTGGTATAGGAGACCCTGTATCAAATCAAATAAATGCAACGTATAAAGTTCAATTAAAATAAATGAAAAATAAACGTATGTGTAAAGGCAGGGGAAACGGCTCAGTGGTGAGCACTTGCCGGCATGCACCAGCCCTGGATTCCACTCCCAGCCCAAACAACTCAAGGATTATGTATATGGTTTCAACCCTGTTACTATTGGGAGACACTGAATATTTTTACGTTTGCTTGTGTCCGACAGGAAGCATACACAATACACATGCAAGTGGGCAAGCAAGAAGAAAAACATGGTAAAGAAAGGGTCCAAGCCACAAGGCTTGCTGGCACCTCCCCTTTAGGACATACCTGAGGCCCTGTTCCAGCGGCCACACAGTCCCACAAAGAGCTCAGGGTTGTCCAGATACCTTCAGGGAGAAACATATGGGAAGGAGAGTGATGCGTTAAAGATGAAGTATCGTCTAAACACACACACACACACACACACACACACACACACACACACACACACCACTTAGGAAAGACTTCAGGCTCCTGCCCCAAGGCCCCGGCCCCTCTGCCTCTCCAGTCTAGACTGCCAGGCTGGCTCCTATCATTCATCTCACCTCTCCTGCAACCATCGAAACTTTCTCAAGCCCCACCCTCCTGCTTCTCAGACCCCACCATGCCCTGTCTGTCCTGGCTATGGAGCTACTTCAGGCTTCTTGATTCGGTGATTCCGTAAGGGTCTGATAGCACTCTCTCACCAGGCCCAGCGCTGTCCCTCCAAGCTCACAACCTGCTTGTGGCTTCCCCGTGGCCTGGCCTCCATCATGTCCTCCCTGTTCCATGCTCTTAGACCCACAGGCCTCACAGTCCCTCACACTTCCCATTCTACTGTGATGCCTGGTGTACAGTCTGTTTTTGTGTGTCCACCTGACACAAGCTAGAGTCATCAGAGAGGAAGGAGCCTCAGTTGAGGAAATGCCTCCATGAGATCCAGCTGTTAGGCATTTTCTCAGTTAGTGATCGAGGGTGGGAGGGCCCACTGTGGGTGGTGCCATCCCTGGGCTGGTGGTCCTGGGTTCTATAAGAAAGCAAGCTGAGCAAGCCAGGGGGAGCAAGTCAGTAAGCAGCACTGTCTGCACCAGCTCCTGCCTCCAGGTTCCAATACGATGTGGAACTGTAAGCCAAATCAACCCTTCCCTTCCCAGTTTGCTTTTTGGTCCTGCTGTTTTGTTGCAGGATTAGAAACCCCTAACTAAGACACCCTTGGTTTGCCAGGCAGTGGTGGTGCACACCTTTAATCCCAGGCAGAGGCAGGCAGACCTCTGTGAGTTCGAGGACAATCTGGTTTATAGCGCAAGCTCCAAGACAACCAAGGTTACACAGAGAAACCCTGTCTAGAAAAACACACAAACAGGACACCTGGCTTGGCCTTTCCTACCCTGACCCCAGTCCCTGGCAGATAGCTGTTCTCCTCTTAGGACAAAGTGCAGTGGTTGGTAAACTAGGAAGCTTCCCTGAACTGCACTAGGCAGAAACTGCCAGTCCCTTACGGGTGCTTGCATACTCTGATGCCCTAGCAATGCTGGTGTGCAGGAAAAGCCAGGTTTGACTACAGCCCCAGGACAAGCGGGAAGCCAGGAGTAGTCCAAAAAAGTCTTACTTGGAGGATCTAACTTTCCTTCTCTCTCTCTCTCTCTCTCTCTCTCTCTCTCTCTCTCTCTCATCCTTATTTTTTCTCCCTTCGTTTCTCTCCTTTGTTTCCTTTCTTCCTACTCCAAGTGAAGCCAAGCACAGTGCTCACACTTGAAATTTCAGAAGCTGAGGCAGGAGGATTGATGGGACCTGTGAAATGACACCTAAGGTTGGTCTCTGGATTCGGCAGTCATGCAGGCGTGTGCACACATATAACCTCACACCCCACCCAGTGCAATCCTAGAGATATGCTGACAAGTAGGGAATGGCAATGTTTTAGCATTGCTCCTTGGCAGCCCTTGGGTTACTGCACCAAACCTCTCCACATGGCGGACTTCAATCCACGTCATCTCTGCCCCAGGATGCCAGCATGTTCATTCTGTTCTGCACCACGTAGCGAGCACAGACCCTATCTGTGAAGCATGGCCCATTCATCTAAGTCTCAGGAAAGGAAAAGCTACATGGGGTGGGGGCTCTCTCACGGTGTTGCACGGTGATGTTCTCTCAAGAGTTACAGGGAATTGGGGGTGGAATAGAGGACGGAACCCAGGGGAACCTCAGTGTGGAGACTAAAGCAGCTTTACCTCAGTCACACAGACAGGCCCATGGATGCCCTCAGGAAACCAAACTGGCTGACTAGGTGGATGAATTAATGAATGCAGAGACATCAAACACCTGCCTCCCCCAAGCCTACCTGCAGACTCCTGGGGGCACCTGCCCCCATGAAAAAATGCTTTCTCCAAGCTGGGAAGAGTGTATCTCTGTTCACTTATTGCCCCAGGCCACCACCTTCATCTGCTCTGGCTGCTTCCTGTTACATGGCCTCGGTGTCCATACTTAAGGCCAGGCTGGTCACGCAGCATTCCTTATTGCTTACGGCACCGCTATAACTTGGACACTCAGTGCACAGTCTCTGTTGCCAGGACACATGGGGACAGAGTGTGGACAAAGGAAACTAGGTGCGTGCTGGAGACTCGAGGCTCTGCCTGAGACATACGTCAGCACACCAACTGAAGCTGCAGGGCTGTGAACTCCCTGCTTTGTCCCTGATCTACGAAACAGGAGCATTAATCTGTCACTCCTGATCTTTTTGCTTTCCAGCCATCTGTTTACTCCACTGGATTTCATTTCAAAAGGGAACTATTCCACTGCTGTGGAGACAACACTACATGCTGCGGCTGGAACCGGAGAGTAAGTGCAGATATGACGATGGGGGTACATTAACCAAGCAGGCCAAAGTATCCTAAGAACAGGAAGTGTGGCAGCCTGGTGGTGGTCCCTTGACTGCTCACTCTTTTCTCAGAGATCTCCTCTTCCCAGGGTCCAGCTAACACTTCTGGACACAGCCAGGAAGTCTGACCTCTGTTAGAACCTCAGTCTCCTGTGAAGGCCATCCTGGACGATCCGGGTTCAGGACCTTCAGGGATTCCCCAGGGTTGGTGTCTGCTGTCCTTGGTGCTGAAGCAATACCCTAGGGACCTAGCAGATGCCACATTTCCTCACAATAGAGCAAGCCCCACGATCAACATCAAACCGTCCTTGGTGCTGAAGCACACAGCATCGTGCCTCCTTTCAAAGCCATTTGTGTGGTGTTTCCAGTTCCAAAGCAGGCTTCCTGCCGCTATCCTAGGTGCTGAATGGCAGTTCGGAGGCACCGACAGGAACGTGTAGCTGTCGTTGGTGCTGAACGCCAGCACAATGGCTGCCTTCTATCCTTACCAACCACTTAAAGTACAACTGTCAAGATGTAAAGACTCACATGCTGAGGCCAAGGCACTAATCCTGGAAGTATGGAGGCAGGGTGACTGAGTGGAGGTATAGGCCCAAAGACTACAGCCTGTGAGTAAGTTGTGGCATGTTGCCTGCAATGAGCATGGAATCCTATACAGACTATGTTTACTCCCTAACTGTTCACAGCTTGTGACCCAGGTGCTACTTATATAGCAGTTTACAGTGGGAGAACACCAGGGCTCACAGAAGTCAAGGTACTCACCCAGTACCCAGAATAGTGGGCCAGAAGCTAATCCTGGGTGGCATGGCTTCAGAGCCCAAAACTCTCTCCTGCTGGAATGCACGGCAGAGAATTCACTTGAGGCGCCAGAAGGCTGTGGCTCTGTGAGTGGCTGCCTACCCATCCCTTCTGCTTGTCACTGGGGTCGGAACTCTTCCCCTACCTGAGGGGTGCTTGGCTAGTGCGGGGTGCTGCAGACCTTTATACTCACTTCTGCTTCTGCCTAGTTATCTCTTCGGTGTTGGGAAGGCAGTTTGTCCATGGCAAAGACCCATAAAGCCACTTGAGCATACAGTACCCCAAGGTCTGAAGATCACTGCGGCGGGAGGGCCCTGGGGAGAAAAGGGGTGAGGTGGTGGCTTATTCTCACTGTTCCACCTCTTCATGTGTCTGTCCCCAGCTCTCCACTCCAGCTGTGAAACAGTCTTAGCCATCACTGTTCAGTCCCCAGCCTCCCTTATACTCCCCAAGACTCTCACATACTCTGCTGCTGTCATCCACTCCAGCACCCCACTGCCCTATGGTTCATCCTCTGTTAGTTAATACAGTTATCCAAGGAGCCCTGGGTGCCTGTGCACCAGGCCTAGCCTCTTATCTCCCAAATACTTCATTTCCCATATAGTTAAGCAGGGAAGGATTGTGGTGCTGAGCTACCTCATCGCAGAGGAGAGGAACAGGGCAATATCCTTTTGCCTAACTCACTCTTAAGATAGCTGTGTACTAAGTTGTTTTCCCTCCTGTCCCCAGTGCAGTACAGGCACCTCTTATGCTCAGCATGTGTGCAGGCAGATGGATGGTCGTGACACTGAGATTCAAGAAAGAGGGGCTGGGGAACCTGTGGAGGGCTGTCAGCCCTCTTTGCACATTTTCCATGGATAACCTGATCCTCTTGTTCAATGTTTAACTCCCACAAGACCACAAAGACCTCATGCTACAGCAGCAGATGGCCCCCATTTCTGCACCTGCCCTTCCTAGGTGACCCTGAACAGTACTCATCATCTCCCAAGTCTGCCACAATGGAAATCTGAGTCTCTGGAAATATGAGATTCCTGTCCAGCTGCCCACTGTCCTGGGTTCTAGATCCCGTATCCCCACTACTCAAAGGCCACCATGCAGTCCTCCTTGGTTCTGAAGAAGGGAACAAATCCCTCACATGGCCATGACACTGCTATATTCCCAGTCCCCACCACAGCACCTTTATGCTCCTCCAAATCTGGTATCTATTACCCATGATCAAGAATGTGGAGGCCATGGGTGTGACCATAACATGTAAGAGGCATGTCATGGTGGAGCCCCTCTCACCGCATCCCTTGTGCACATCCACGCTAATGAATTCCAGGTCCCCGTCGTGTGGACTCCTGCTGCCTTCTTTGTAGGCCACGTGTTTGCCACCTGGGCAGTATCGGTAGGTGAAGCCATAGCCCACCAGGGTCACCTGTGGATGGGGAGGAAGCACACAGACCTGAGGTTAGGGCTGCAGTGTGGGTACAGATGCCTGTGTCAATAGCTGCCTACCTAACCCCAACAGTTGTAAAGACGACGACTTGGGGATGACTACTGATTGCAGAAAGCTAGACATAAATTCAGCAACATCCTTACTTTGGGTCCAACATTATAGTGGACCGAGTGTGGAGTGGGGACTTGTCACATTACAAAGGCTGGGAGTAGAGAGCAACAGAGGGAAAACAGGGACAAGACAAGATACGTCTTTGGCAGGCTGGAGAGGTGGCTGAGCAGTTCAAGGCACTGGCTGCTCTTCAGAGGATCTGAGTTCAATTCCCAGCACCCCCAGGGCAGCTCACAATAGACTGTAACTCCGAATCCAGGGAATCCTATACCCTTACAAATATACACATGCAAGTGAAACACTAATGCTCATAAAATTAAAATAAATAGATCTTAAAAAAATACACCCTTGAAAGACACGCTGTTGGGCCCCACTTCTGATTCTCACCACCTCGTAAAGACAACACCAAATGATGGCTCCAGCACTCGAGAAGCCTCGTGTGGAGCCAGAGCCCTCTGATCAAGGCTCACACAAACCCCAACTCTGAACACTGAGCTGGGGACAGAGCTTTCCACACACAGCTGCTTTGTTCTCTCAACCTGGCTTGAACTCCTAGCACTCACCTGCCTCAGGTTCTACAGCACCACCATGTGCCTTTGGAGAGAGACTCAGATCCAAATGCTAACATTGTTTTTGGAGACTAATAAAGCCCAGGCTAACCTGAAACTCCACACATAGTTGAGGATGACTGAACATCTTTGTTTTGTTTGAGACAGGGTCTTTACACAGCTCTGGATATATTGGAACTCACTATGTAGTCCAAGTTGGCCTTGAACTCAGACATTACCTGGCCCTGCTCCCTATTGTCACTCTCTAAATGCTGGGATGATAGGTGTGTGCCAATGTGCCCAGCGTATGTATGCCACAGATGGAACCCAGGGTTTTATACATGCTAGGCAATGGAGCCACATCCCCAGCACCACAGAAGTGCGTGTGCATGTGTGTGCGTGTGTGTGTGCGTGTGCATGTGTGTGCGTGTGTGTGTGCGTGTGTGTGTGCGTGTGTGTGCGCACGTGTGTGTGTGCGTGTGCATGTGTGCGTGTGCATGTGTGTTGGAGGGGTTCGGCTCTCACCTGGCTCAGATCCTCTGGATTCACAAAGACATTCTCAGCTGTCAGGTTTCCGTGAACATACTCGTTTTCATGGAGATACTCCAGAGCATCCAGCTGGAGGAAGAAGGAGTTGAGGTGGTATGACAGAGCAATGACAAACAGGAAAGAGGCAAAGCTGTCAACCTGGGGACCATCATTGTGAATGGAGTATCCTGCCAAGTTCTAGGGTAGCATTCACTGTGGTGGCATGCCTGTGAAGAATTCAGCAGTCAGCTGGTGTCTGGCTTTCCCTCTACCTTCTGTGCTGACTTAACGTTCCCCTACAGCAATAACCAGCACCCAGCACTGTCAGAGTTCTGCTAATTTTTCTAAGAGAGAAGGCAAATGGTTAAGCCCTTCAGTGAGGGTTCTAGGTAGGAGGTCCGGTGCTGAGCTACAACCCTCCCCAGGAGTCCCTGCCTGTCTGCCCAGCTCCACCTTCTACACAAAGCTTTGGAGTGTCTCGAGGTTCATCTGGGTATCAGTCACACCCTGCTTCTCTCCAGACACCTCCTTGATCCTGGGGCTGAGCTGTCTGTCAACTACCACTTGTTCTTCTGTCTTCTGTCTCTCCCTTCCCTGGCCGGGATGCTCTGCAAGCCCCACCTTCTTCCAGCTGAGCTTTCATCTTGCCTCTGATTTCCTTACTGCAGCTCACCTCCACATGGCCTGAGGGTCTTTCTGCCTCACCTACCCAACTTTCTCATGGCTCCCCAGTACCCCGTTACTTACCTGGTAGTCACTTGCTGTTCTCTGCACTGACCCCCCACCCACTATACACTGAGTTAGAACAGTTACCTCACCCAACAAGCACATCACCCCCTTGGTACTTATGTCACTCCAGTGGTGTGATCTGACTCCTCCTTCATTAAGCACAGGTCATTTCTAACAGCCAACTGTTTGCCAGAGCCCTGTCCACCTAACTGTGAGAATGAAGTCATGAAAACAGGATTGGCTGCCTTCTGTTCCACCCTAGCCAGAGAAAACTCGGTATTTGGTGACTAGTGAGCGCATGAATGAGTGAATATAGGAAGGAGTGAAGGAGTAACGTCTTTGTACAAGCTGTGGTGGTTTGAGTGAGATGCCCTCCAAATAGTCTTGGGTATTTGAATACTTGGTCCCCAGTTGGTGCAACTGTTTGAGAAGCACTAGGACACGTGGCCTTGTTGGAGGATGTCCTGCCATTCCCATCACACCCTGCCGTGTTTCGTGGCTGTAAGACCTGAGTGCTTGGCTGTTCCAGCTGCCTGAGGGCTGTTACTGCCACTCTGCCATCGTGGACTCACCTCTCTGGAACGGGAAGCCCAAAGCACACTCTTTCTTAAGTGTCGTATCACAGTAAGAGAAGAGTAACTAAGACAGCCTTGGCCCAAGTGGTCTCCTTGGCCATCACCAAGGTGGTTTTGTACACTACCGCCATTCCTCATCCCAGCACCTTGCTAGTTCCCACTTATCCTGAGAGCCCAAACTCACAAACCATGCCCTGCACCCTCTGTTCCAGGCTGGACCTCTTGGTTGTTCTTATGGGGCATCATCATCCACCAGGCTAGATCACTGGCATTCTGTCCTCTGTGCATCCATGAAGATCACTTAATCAGCCTGATGGGGAAGCTGTGGGATGATTTTACGGTACGTACCAGCCTGCAGGCCACCTGCAGCACACATCTCTCTGAAACCACATGCTTTGGGTTGTCATCCAGGGCTGACTGAAGGCTCCTACCCAGGCAGGGGAACACTAGGAACCTAGAAGACAGAGGACTTAGGGAGCTGGAGATGTGGGATGCCAAGCCCTGCAAGATATTCTACAGAGACTGGGAAGGGCAAGCTAGGACACTTGTCTCCACCAGTGCTAATCTACGGCTGTGTGTTGCTGCCACTAGGTTCACTGTCCCTCTTTCCTGTAAGTTCTCATACTGCAGTTAAGGGGATTGAGATACCTCACCCCTTAGTTCTCACCCAATCCATAAACAAGCCCATTTGCTTGTACCAACGCCCCCATCCTGGTTCTCCGCAGGCAGGGAGCCTTTCAGGTGTCTCTTGGCCCTCACTCTCTGCTGCTTCTCCACTTTGCTTTTTCCCCTTTCCCTCTGCTGCCCAAATTGAATGAATGAATGAATGAATGAATGAATGAATAAATGAATAAATGAATAAATAAATAAATAAAATTTAAAAAGCACAGTTACAGGGAAGTGGGACTTTGGTCACCTGCTGCTCTGCAAGTCAGGCTGAATAAAACTCGTTTGGCAAGCTGGCCCTACCCTAGTCATGAGGCATAGTCCCATCCTGAAGGAAGGCAATCCAATCCCTCTTTGTCCCCCTGAGAAACACCCATTCAGGCAACAGAGGGACATCGGGTGGGGGTGGTGGGAGCAGGCAACACATGAGGAGGCTCTCACCTGTACTTGTCCTGGTGAATGCCAAAGCCCACACAGGTGGGGATGGCGAGGAGAGGGACCAAGCACTGCTTCTTCCACTTGTTCACTGCAGGGGGCAGAGACTCAGGGTCAGATCAATGGTCAATGCCAGTCCCAAAGGAACAGCCTCTGATTAGGCCAGAAACAGAAAGAACCAAAACCAGACTCTGGGTCTCTTCATCGGTCCTCATTGGTATGACAGGCTTGTGGTTGCCAGTGAGAAGAGATGGGGACAGGTGGGCATATGTGATCCATGTCTACAGGTGACTTCTGAGCAAGCATGCACAAAGCTGGCATGAGGGGAAGAGGGTAATCGTAACAGGGCAGGGCTCCAATGGGCTCGGTGGTAGAGTGCCTGCCCAGCATGTACAATAATCTCCTGTTCTCAGCACTGAATACAAGCTACTGTGGTAGAGCACACTGGTAACCCTGTTACTCAGGAGTCCACGGTCATCCTTGGCTACACTTCTAGTTCAAAGAACCCAGGACTACATGAGACTGTGTCTCAAAAACAAAGAAGTGATGATCAGGGTGATCTTTGAGTATACATGCAAAGCTGTTAAGATTGATAGAAGTCTAGACAGCCACAGCATCACTGGGCCCCTGTGCTAGAGCAGAGGACTGTGTGTGTGGAGATCTGGCCAGGTACAGGTGGCCAGGGGAAAGCCATGGGGCTGGCATTTCAGCTACTACCTAGGACGTAAATCCTCCCCACCAGGCCAGTCTCACGGCAGCAACACAACAGGACTGAGTGCAGCTGGAGAGAGGCAGAGCATGCAGGGTGGCATTTTCACAGATTTATACAACCCAGATCCATGGCTCACAGAACACAGAAAAATTGTGTGGCCACCAAGCATTGTGAATAATTTGGTTTTAAATGTAACCAATTTGGTTAAAAGTTTTCCTAACAATTTTGGATGTCACAGCCAGCACACAATGTTCACGACAGTCACCACTTGTCTCTCAGAGCTGCTACAGATCAACCCCACCTGTCCTCCCAGGCTGGAGGACTGAGGGTGATGGGGGCTGGCTTGTGCATGCAGGTGGGATGCACACTCAGGTCTTTGGTCACATCATAAAATACCTCGAAGATCCTGTCACCCAACCCAACCCCCCTGCCCAGTTCCTGTGGGATACCTTGCAGAGGCTTGGCTGCTCTCTGAAAGAAGTTCTGCTCATTGAAAAGGCGCCCATCCTTGGAGTCCTGAGGGTGACAATAGAGCAGACACTGTCACACCGAACTCCCTTAGACAAGAGCCACAGATTCCCAGAAGACCTCACTGCCACATCAGCAGATTCAGTCTCATCCTGTCCTACAGCAGACCCCGCTCCTGGAGTGCCATGGCTGAGCAGGCTTTACTTCCCAGTGCCCAGCTCTCTTTGATTATCTTATGGCAAAATCCATACACTTGCTTCCAGATATGTGGCCCTCAGCTAAAACCTTAATTTTCTAGCCTCCCTTTCAATGAGGCATGGTTTCATGATCAAGTTCCAGCCAATGAGGACATGACCAGAACTTCCAGATCAACCTAGTCTATGTAGTGAAAACCTGTCAAAGACAAACAAACAAACAAACGTGCGTTCATATCAGAGGCTGAAGAGACAGCTCAGTGGTTCAGAGCACAGGTTGCTCTTGCAGAGGACCCAGGTTTGGCTCCTAGAACCTATTATCAGGCAGCTCACAACCACTTGTAACCCTGATTCTAGGGGAGCTGGTACCCACTATTGGCCTCTGTGGGTGCCAAACATGCAAGTCAGTCAAAATACTCATACACATAAATAAAATACATATATTCTTAAAGACTGGGTCTTTTTCATATATATCTATATACATGTATCTATCATTCATACATACATACATACATACATACATACATACATACATACATACCTATGAATCAGTCTAGCCTAATTTTTTAGTTATACATAGTACTCTTGCTTGGTTCTTATGACCACAGTGCCAAACACAGCTAGGTTTCTGTCCAACATCCTTCTCCCTTTCTCTCTTCTCCTGGCCTCCCTTCCTTTCCCTTTCAATCCCACCTCTATATCCCCTTAATTTTTCTAGGACATGGCCTCATATATCCAAGGCTCAAACTGTTGATGTAGCTGAAGACTGTGAATACTTGATCCTCCTGCCTCCACATTCTAAGTGGTGGGATGACAAGCATGCAGCACTCCTGCTTGTGTGGTGCTGGGGATGGAACCTGGGACTCTGTGCATGCTGGGCAGGTACGATACTGACCGAGCTGCATCTCCAACCTGACTCCTTTCTTTTTTCTTTCCTGCTTCTTTCTCCCTATTTCTCTCCACTCCTTTCTTCTCATCTGTTAAGTTTGGAATTCAATAGCTTCCTCAAAGGCTTGCTGATAGAATCCAGGGACAGTGCAAGGGAACCACTTAGCTGGGGTCTGTCACCCAGGAACTCTGCGGCAGTGGCACTAGGCCTCAGGGTTCCTGCACAGACATATTCCACCCCCACCCCCACATTCTCTTTCTCATGCTCTCACTCTCTCCATTTCCTGGTTGCCACAACAGGAGCTGCTCTTGGCCACACCCTTCCCACATGATTGACAAGTGAGCTGCATTGCTTGGCAACGCTTTCTCTATATGGCAGACTCATATTTCTGAAACCATGACCCAAATAAATCCTTCCTCCCTCGATGTGTTTTACAGACATTTTGTCACAGTGACAAAAAGGTGACAAATACAGTATGTGACAGTCACACTCTATGTATGAAGTGGGCAGCAGAGGGCAGGTAGACGCAGAAAGCTAGCTGTACTGATGCAGAAACTTGAAGCTGACGGGGGACAGGATTCCATGGCCAGGAAGCAGCAGAGGCAGATGTAAGGACAAGCCTCATCTCTGCTCTCCAGAATGAGGAAGGAATGTGCCCAGAGTCACATTCCAGGAGCACCCTCTTTTTAGGGTGGGTTCCGCAGGCTGCACCAGGGCTCAGAAGTCAAGGATTAATTTAAAAAGTCCCACATCTGCCTTTCTGGGGTGCTTGCTCCTGGACCACTCACCAGTTTGAGTGAGAATCTCCACTTCTGGGTCCTTGATTCACAGGAGACAACACAAGTGGGCTCAGCTGTGGAATGGCAAGAGAGAAACATCAGAACCAAAGGGGAGTGTCAGAGCCTGATCCCCAAGCTGCTCAGAACCAAGAACCAGTTCTCTGGTTCCCATGGGGAAGTGCGTACTTGGTACTCAACACCTGTCCCTCCATGTTTCCTGTCTCCCCATCTTATCTTCCTACCTCTCTTCAAAGTACCAAGGATTGAATCTAGAGTCTTGCATTAGCCAAGTATTTGTCAACTTGACACAACCCAGAGTTAACTGGGAAGAAAGTCTCAATGAGGGACTGTCTATATTGGTTTGGCCTGTAAGGGAGTGTCTTAATTGATATGGGACAACTTAGCCATGTGGATGGCACCATTCCCTAGGTAAGGGTTCCTGAACTGTTAAGAGTGGAGACAAGCAGATCACAAGTAAGCAAACATGCATCCAATTTTTCTCCTTGTTCTTTAAGGTTGTGACTAGCCCCCTGGAGTTCCTGCCTTAATTTTTGGGTTATTATGAACAAGAACTGTGGGCTAAATGCACCTCCTTCTCCCCTAAGAGGCTTTCTGGCAGTGTTCTAACCCTCCACCACCTTCACCACACCCTGAGCCCTGATGCCTCATCGTGACCATCAACTTGATGGGCCTGAGGAGAGACAAGGCTGGGCAAGCCAGTTCTGCATGACTCTGATGACTTCCAGAGATGTTGAGGTCCTCAGGGCTCTGACCTTAACAGTGCATTGATTCTTTGAAGGATGCAAATATAATGGCATCACTGGGAGGTGGGGCTAAGCTGGAGGAGAGAGGTGACTGGGGCATGTTCCTGAAGGCCACCCCTTGCCCTGCTCACTCCCATAAGGCTTTTCTCTGGATACCGAGTCTGAGCTGCTCTATGTGGCCTCCCCCACCCCACCCCAAGCCCTAGCCCATCTTTCCTCCTTGGAAAAGTTGCTGTCCTTGGGCATTATACACCCCTTGTCCTTGTGGTACTGCATTGCCTGGAGCATCCCTGTGCACTGGGACAGACAGTGTGTACCTTCATAGAGAATGCCTTGGTCATCCCGGGCCTGCAGGGTCCCGAGTGTCCAGTGCTTCCCATTCTGGTCTGTCAGCTCGGTCCCTGTGGGCAGAGCCTGGAGTGAGGTGGTCACCCGGGTCCGCTTCAGTGTCCGAGGGCTCAGCCTGTTGGAAACTGGGCTGCCTTTGGGGGTCAGGGGTCTGCTCCAGGTGCCTGCAGGGATGACCCGATAAAGAGAGAATAGAGAGAAGCAGTGCCCAAAGCACTGTCCCTGCTTTTGTTTAGGAATTCTTCCTGACCTCCCACAGAGCAGAATCTTTGTTCCACAATACTGGAGACTCGTGAATCAGGTTTGGACCCCTCCCAGTGTGTTGAGGATTCTGACTTAGACATAACCTGACAGAATTGAATCTGAGATGAAGCAGTCAAGATAGATAGTGGGGCCAGAAGAGATCGATGGCTGGAAGAAGTCAAGCGAAGCTTACTGGGGACATTAGAGAAGGGTTTTACTGGATACAGACATTCTCCCCCAAGTATCCTGAAATGGGTCTTGGCTATGTGCTGATCTCTGCAAAGTGCCCAGGAATGTGTTAAGACTCAGGCTTGATCTTGAAGGGCCCCCAGACAGGCTCTCTTGCCCAACAGTATCTGGTAAGATACAAATGGATCCTGTATGGTTCTTTTTAAGAAGAATATGCAGGCCAGGAAAAGAGGCTGCAAGGAACATGGAACCATGACTAATATCAGTGATGAGTGGATCAATGAGGGCGTGTATACCAGAGGTGGCAGAGTCCTCAGATAAGCCCACATGCTCAGGAAATACTCCAAGAGATCAGGCCTCTAAATGGTCAGGGTGAGTGAGTATGATGGGCCAGCTGGAGGTTAAGTCAAATTGGTTTGAAGGAATAGATTAACAGAGCTTAGAGGTGGACATCCCGCAAGTGGCATTTCTGTTTACTGGGGCATAGAGTTAGAGATACAGTATGTGTTGCTGCCTTGTTGGAGGAAGCATGTCACTGTGAGGGTGGGCTTTGAGACCCTCCTCCTAGGTGTCTGGAACCCAGTCTTCTAGCAATCTTTAGATGAAGACACAAAACTCTCAGCTCCTCCAGCACCATGCCTGCCCGGATGCTGCCATGGCCCTGCCTTGATGATAATGGACTGAACCTCTGAACCTGTAGACCAGCCCCAATTAAATGTTGTTTTTGTAAGAGTTGCCTTGGTCATAGTGTCTGTTCAAAGCAACGGAAACCCTACTAAGACAATGTGGTTTAAATTTCAGACTTGACATGGCTGGAGAAAGAATTCGTGAACTGGAAGATAGAGATGAAGAAATTACTCAAAAACTGAATGTGATGGCATGTGCCCATAATCCCAGTACTCAGAAGCCTGAAGCAGGATGATTGCTGTGAATTCCAGGCAAGCTTAGGCTATATAGTGAGAACTTGTCTCAAACAAACAAAAAACCCAAACAAAAGAAACTGTCTAGAAAACAAACGGAATGACAAATGACAGCAGATGGAATAGGTGCTGTCTGTGGACTGAGGAAAGTCAGGCCGAGGCCATGGTCCCAGAGACCAAGAGGCCATAGGGCCACTTGAGGGTATAAAAGGTTTCTGTGGGGAGAGACAAGTATGGGACACGGGGAAGATGCTGGGAAGAGGTTCAAGGCAGGGAGGGATGACTAACTGATGTTTCAGTTGGAATAGCACTAGTCTTTTCTTAACCATTGTTTTAATTTTTAGATTTTATTTTTAATTATGTATATATGTGTTTGTGTGGGGGCTGGGTATTTTCACAGGACTACAGTGGCTGTGGAGGATAGAGCAGGGCACTGGATCTCCAGGATCTGGAGTTTCAGGTGGCTGTGAGTTGTCAGACACGGATACTGGAAACTGAACTTGAGTGCAAGCACTCCTAACTGCTGAAGCATCTCTCCAGCCCTTGTCCCCACCCTGCCAAATAACCTGTCTTTGTCTCATCCAGACAAGGACCAGTCCCAGCTCTCACCTGTGGCTCTGTCAGGAGAACTCAAGGTGTCATCAGATCCAGAACTGTCACAGTCAGAATGGAGGGAGGATGGGAGGGAAGTGACAGTGTGTGACCACTTCACTTTCTTGGGGGAGGTTTCAGAACTGGAGTTCAGGTCTCTCCTGGAGCCTAAAGATGAGCCAAATGCAGATTAGAGTTCTGAAGACAGGGGCTTCCATGTACGCTCTGTGCTCAGGGTCAGCCGTGCTTTCCTCTGATTTTTACAGGACAGCTCTGCTGTGTCTGCTGTCCAGTGCTCAAAAGTGCCTGGTTCCTGTGGTCTCTCCTCCACTGGCCCAGCCTCTTTTTTTTTTTTTTCATCTTTCATCACTTGTCATTCTGGTGTCTTCTGAGCAACTTCTTTTTTTGAAAATGTTAATTGACTGTATTCACATTATAAAACAATTTGATACACTGAAATACCACGGTGTACCTGTGGAGGTCAGATGGCAACTTTTGGGAACCAGTCATCTCTTTGTACTGTGGCTTCCAGGGGTGGAACGAAGTTCCTCAGGTTTGTGCAGCAAGCACTTTCATTCTTAGATCTATCATGCTGGCCCAACAATTTGTTTTTGTTTGTTTAAGAGAAAGATTTTCAGCTGGGCAGTGGTGGTGCACACCTTTAATCCCAGCAGTTGGAAGGCAGAAGAAGGCAGATCTCTGAGTTCGAGGCCAGCCTGGTCTACAGAGTGAGTTACAGGGCTGCCAGGTCTACATAGAGAAACCCTGTCAAAAAAACCAACCAACCAAACAACCAAACAAAAAGAGAGAGCTAAGGCCTTCTTATATGATAAATCTTAAACTCAAGAAGAGTCCAGTTGTCCTTCCTAGGCCTCCTAAGTGCTGGGATTACATGTACGTGCCACTGTGTCGTGCTTTTGAATAAATTCCCCAGCTCTTATCTTCTACTTGAAGTGGAAACTTCTACTTTCTTTGGAAAGTCAGTTATGTCAAATGATGTTTTGCTGGGCATACAGGTGAAAAGGATGTCTTGCTAAAGCAAACACGTGAAAGACTGTTTTCCTGAAGCAGACAAAGGTGAAAGGAATGTTTTAACACAGCAAACTCATTGTAAGGAGTAGGCCCTTAACAGGACCAACTCCATTTTGTAATAGGAAACTTGTAGAGACAAGTCTGGAAGTGAAGTTGTGCTGTGATAGCCAGACATGAGTGGTTATCGCAGTGCACGTCAGCAGTAATGCCAAATCAAGCATAAAAGAGAAGCCCGACCAGAGCACGTCATCACACTGGTAACCATGATTACCTAGGGTGATCCTCCACCAAGCTTCCTCAGCTCCTGATCACGAAAGAGTTAACTGAGAGAGCGATGCTCCCACTTGGTCTACGAGGTCAAATTAGCAATTCAACTAGCTGGAAGCTGCAGCCTGACACACACACACACACACACACACACACACACACACACACACAC